AGCGAACCCCCGGTTGTCTCCCTTGTGGCTTTCTGGTTCAGGGCTGGATTAAGGCTTGGCCCCCACAACAGCAACAGGACAGGTGAACCCCTTAAGTCCCACACACCTACTCTTAATCCAGCCCCGCGTGCTCACGCCTACGTCTGTGTTCCTCCGGGGCCCCCAGGCTCAGTACTGCTCCATGTCCTCCGCCAGCTCTTCGTCTGGTGGGTTGCTCTCCTCTGCTGCCACTGCGCGACCTCCGCGTCCTTTGCCCCCATCCCAGCCTCCTCCTCTGCTTGGATCGCCTTCTTTCTGCCGCCTCCCCCGTTTGTGCTTCTCCTCTGCACCTGACCGGCCCTTCGAAGGGCTCTCTCGTGGCTGGTGGTGGTCTCCACGGTTGCGTGGGCGGTGTCGGTGGTGTGAGTGGTGTGAGTGGCTCCACCCCTCTTCTCTTCCCTCTCCGCTTCCTCCACCTCGCTCCATCTCTCTCTCTCTCTCTCTCGCTCTCTCGCTCTCTCTCTCTCTCTCTCCCTCCCTCCCTCCCTCCCTCCCTCCATCCCTGCTGAACTCTGAGCGGCGCGGTGGTCTCCAACTGGCCCTTCACGAAGGGGTAGAGCAGGGTACGGATCCTGAGGTCTTACTGGCCAGATGGGGTTTAGGGTTTCGGGTTTCGGGTTCAGGGTTTAGGGTTCGGAATCAGGGTATGGGGCTTAGGGGGACTTAGGGTGTAGGGATGAGGGCTTAGGGATGGGGCAGCATTTAGGGCTCAGGGCCAGGCCTGAACCCTGAACCAAACCTAAACCCTCCACCCTAAACCCTGAACCCTGAACCCTAAACCCTACACCCTCCCAAACCCCAAACCCAAACCCTAGGCCCAGGATCAGCAAGGTGTAGGTGGCCACCGCGAAGCCGAAGGATTGCGGGATTCCGAGCCCAAAGATGGCCTGGATTTCGGGTTTAGGGTTTAGGGTTGAGGGTTAGGGTTTAGGGTTTAGGGGTTGAGGGTTTAGGGCTGCGAGGCACGGATCAGCACCCAAAGGACGATAGGGTAGGACTGCAAAACCCTCCGTCTTCGGGCTCAGGGCTTTTTTGGCCTCCACCCCCAAGGGGCCTCATCCAGGCGCTTAATGAGGGTGGCCTGGAACGCCACGAACTGGGTCCAGAGGTTGTCGGGAAGCGGATTGCCCTGGGGATCGAGGAGGATGTTTCCATTCTCATCCCACTGAAGCCGCGGGTCGAAGAAGAACGCGGAGAGCTTTTCCCAGACCCCGGCGGACTCGGCGTCGGCGGAGTCGGCGGCAACCGCTGCTTGCGGTGGGCCGAGCAGGGCCGTGAGCTGTGCCAGGGCATCCGTTGCTGTCTGGGTTGCCGCCTGCATGGCCGAGATGGCTGCCTGCCACATCACACATGACCCACAGGGCAGGCCCTTTGATACAGGAGGCATGATGTTCACTCTGTGTGCAGCCAGTTGAGGTACGCTTACGCACATCAGGTGCAGGAACTACATGCGACAGCCCACAACATCCTTCGACCCGACATGGCTGAGCCCAGGCGCAACATCTGCACCGAAATCCTCTAGAAGGGGATTTAGGGGGGGGTTTGCTCGGGGCTGTTCAGGGTTTCGGGCGCCACCCTTGGTCGCTGAGCCTGAGGGTCCGTCGCTGCCACCTGAGCCTTGGCTCTGCCGCATGATTCTGTATCCCGAGGGCCCCATACACTACCCCGGCTTCTTGCTCATGCCACGTGCTGCAAACATGATGATGATGACAAAGATGATGATGATGATGATGATGATGATGATGATGATGATGATGATGATGGTGGTGGTGGTGATGATGATGATGATAGTGCTGATAGTGCTGACGGTGATTATGGTGATGATGATGATGATGATGGTGATGATGGTGATGATGGCGATGATGGCGATGATGGCGATGATGGCGATGATGGCGATGATGGCGATGATGGCGATGATGGCGATGATGGTGATGATGGTGATGAGGAGCAGGGGAAGCCGGACTTGCTGACCTCAACCTCAAACCCTACACCCTAAACCCCCTGGACCCTTAAACCCAAAACCCCAACCCCCCACCCTCTGAACTTTAAACCCCAAGCCCCCCTAAACCCTCAAACCTCCTAAACCCTAAACACTCAACACCCACATTAAACCCCCAGCCCCCTAAACCCGTTTTTGGAAAGGCTTCTCCCCAAACCCTGAACCTTATAAACCCTAAACCCTTCTTGCATTAAACCCCGTCCAAGGAGCAATTGCTCCAAGGTCGCCAGCTTCGACGGCGCGGCGGAGGACGCGGGGAGCAGGCCGCGCGGTGGCCAACGCCTCCGGGCCTTGGGTGCTTGAGGGCTGGGGAAGATCTGTTTGGGGTTAGGGTTTCGGGTTCGGGTTTAGGGCTTAAGGTTTAGGGTTTGGGTTTAGGGTCTTGGGCGGCGTGCGCCCCGAGTGGCACATTCCCACCCCCGGTTGTGCTCCGCCCTCGTCTTGGCCTTTGTAGGTTTCGGGCTCCCTTGCTTGCAGATCGTGCTCATGTTCTTCATTCGTGCTTGCGCCCGGGGAGAGACCATGAAGCATGCTAGGGCCTTGACACAGAACGTCAGCATGCAGTTGTTCGAGGGTTTTTGGGCTTGGCCCGAGGCCTCTAGATCTCGGGCTTCACATTGGCTTGAAGCTCCCAGTGTCTTCGGAAGGTACATCCCGGATACACCAGACCTCCCATAAACCTGTCGCTTCCTTCTGCCGTCTTAGAAAAGCGAGGCCTTTGGGATGCACCCACTGAAGAGGAGGAGTCTTCGAACTGTAATTTTAGTGCCTGGGGTTGGGGATTGAAGGCTTTTTTTGGCTGAGGTTGAACTGACTTTTGATTAGGGCTGCAATTCGGGGTAATGTTAGGGCTCCCCCTTGCTCAAAAAAGGGGCATCGGGATGTTAGAAAGACCAGAAGTGGGGGGGCGCCTTGAGCACCAACAGACTCTAAGGAAACCCTAAACCCGAAACCCTAAACCCTCAACCCTAAACCCTAAACCCTAAACCCTAAAGTAGGTCCCTTGCTTATACAAACCCTTGTTTACACGATATTTTCTAAGGGCCCGCACTTCTGCCTCGGAAGGGAATGTGCTAAGGGACCATGCAACTACCCCTAGAAAAGGGTTTAGGGTTTGGGGTTTGGGGTTTAGGGTGTAGGTTTGAGGGTTGAGGGTTGAGGGTTTAGGGTTTAGGGCTGAGGGTTTAGGGTTTAGGGTTTAGGGTTAGAAAACCGAAAGGGAAAACAAAAGCTCAGCCTACTCCCTGAGTCCATGGCTTCGTCCCACGGCCCCGCGACGACGCGCGGCGGCGGCAGCACCAGCCACCGCTCCGGCACTCAGCAACCTCACGGCAGGTTTAGGGTTTTGGGTTTAGGGGGTTTAGGGGGTTTGCGGGGTTTAGGGGGTTTAGGGGGTTTAGGGGGTTTAGGGGGTTTAGGGTTTTGGGTTTAAGGTTTAGGGTTTAGGGCTTAGGGCTTAGGGTTTAGGGTCCAGGGTTTAGGGTCTCAGGATTACTGGTTTTGACACGTGGGTTTCGGGTTTCTTTGTGGTTGCCGGTTCAGGGAGTGAGGAGCTTCGGGAGCAGGACTCTTCTCCGCCAGGTTTGTGACTCTGGGGACGGCGCATCTTGCGTGAAGAATGTCTATTTGGGGGGGAGGGTTGTGCCCGATTCCAGGGCACCTGACGCCAAAGAAAATAGGAGGCCCAATGTACAGGGACAAAAAAAACTCAGTGGCGTGGAGTCGTTTTGATGGACATTTCCAGAACAAATGGGAGTGCATTCGGGGTGCACCTCCAAAAAAACCCCAAAGAAAGGGCACCCCTGAGACATTCCAGGTGATTCAGATCCACCATCTAGTGCTCTGGGCTTGGGATACTCTCGAACTTTCAGTAGATGCGCCTGTCCCCTTGCAGAACCGGGGACATCACTTCGGAGCTGCTCTAAGCTCCAGGCGTCCAGGAGTGTGAACCTCCCTTGGCATGCTGCACCACGGGCTCTTGCACCACACCTCCTGGCCGCGAAGTCTTGAAACGCTGGGAAACAAGGCCGCCTTTGCTGCTGCCACTGCATTGTGGACTGCATCTACTGGCACCCATGCCTCGTAGCGACGTGGGCACTGCTTTCTCAATGCCGTCGCTCGAAGAAGGTGCCAGAAATGCCCGTGACGCCAACGCCGGCACGGCCGCCGCGACACCGGCAGCCGAGCTCAGAAGTAGACGTGCAGAATGCTTGTTCTCCCGAGTCGTGGATCCTGGGAGCAGCTGAGGGCACGTTTGCTACAACTTCATTGAACTTGAACTTAGGAGATCCAGTGAACGGTATCTCATTCTCTCTCTCTCTCTCTCTGTTGCTCTCTCTCTCTCGCTCTCTCTCTCCCTCTCTCTCTCTCTCTCTCTCTCTCTCTCTTTCTCTCCCTGTCTCTCACTTTCTCTCTCTTTCGCAGCCCAGCTGCCGGACTGGTTGCAAAATCTCGAAGGCATCTCCTGGAAGATCTCGAAGTTCTCAGCACCCTTGTCCTATACTGAACTTGGAACCCTGGCAAAAACTATTTTCTTTGCTGTTTCTTAGGAATTATAGTAACCAAAAAATAAAAATGATTTCCAAGTAACCCCTAAGCGTCTTAAAAATCAAGCAGCTGCCCTGCCACGCGGCAATGCACAGCTACGATGCACGGATGCTCCGACTTTGCCTTCAAATCACTTGAGCCACATTGCCACGCATCACGCCACGTAACTGCAGTACAAGTGTGCTCGGAGGTTATATAATGCTAGTCACAAGTAGGGTAAAAAGTACCGGAAAGAGGGCTATACCTATTTGTAACTACCCATGAACCTCCAAGGGGTCGAAGTTTAGGGATTCATGGATGCCAGATTGTACACCGGAGTACGTAGGGAGTTTCCCAATAAGTTCCGCATGCAATGCTGGTTGGCTGACAACCCGCACGTCCACGAGCCATGTCGGGGCAAACAACTATGCCCAGCCTGCATCATGATCCCCTCTGCGGAGGACCGAGGAAATGCCCTCCAGGGCCAAAGCGCGGACGTTCTCATCGTGGTCCACAATGCTGAGCGAGACTTGAGCTTATGAGGCAAAAAGGTTGCCCACAGCCGTTAGGAAACTGAAGGCACAGTGTCTACCCATCCACACCATTCCACACCTCTTTGCCAGGTGGTGGCGGAACATGTCGTAACACAGCCTGACCTGCAGCGCACGGGTTCAGAGCGCAAAGGCTTCTGTTGAGGGAACCCACTGAGGGGAAACTGTACCAAGCCCCGCCTCCTCTGCGTCTTCCCGCGCGTAGACCGCCAGGGCAATGCGCATTAACGCCTACAACGGGCACACACCTTCAGTTGGGTTCAGGGTTTCGGGTTTTGGGTTTAGGGTTTAGGGTTCTAGGGTTCTAGGGTTCTAGGGTTCTAGGGTCTAGGGTCTAGGGTCTAGGGTCTAGGGTCTAGGGTTTAGGGTTTAGGGTTTAGGGTTTAGGGTTTAGGGTAGCATCCTTGGAGCTGCTGTTTGGTTGGCCGCCGTGCTCCTCCAAGGCATCGTAGCGCAGCCGCGGGTCGACGTCGCGGATAAGCTGCTCCAGGCCTGGGTGTGTGTCTTTGGGGTTTGGGGTTTGGGGTTTGGGGTTTGGGGTTTAGGGTTTAGGGTTTGGGGTTTGGGGTTTAGGTTTTAGGGTTTAGGGTTTAAAGTTTAGGGTTTAGGGTTTGGGGTGTGTCTTGGGATGTTATACTAACAGTCCCTTATAAGGATTCTAATGGGGGGGACTGTAATCCCTATTCAGGGATGTCAGTTTTAGGAGGAACATCCCAACCTTCTACGTATTGCTTAAGAACAGGGTTTAGGGTTTAGGGCTTAGGGCTGAATACCAGGTTTGCTGAAGAAACCCCCAAAAAAGAGTAGAAAAAAAGGTTCTTATCTGTTCATGTCTAGGGGTTCTTAAGCAAATGGTAGCTTTACAGGTCGCCTCCACATACACATGTTCCCACTCACCTAGGATTCAGCCAACATCGCTGGATGATCCTGATTCCTACATTTCAGCACTCAGAGCCATGCCCGTCATCGCGCCGATGGCATCCCCCTGCCGGGCTTGCTGAACGAGACCTTCCCATGAGGCCATCATGTCGTCGATGGCCGGCTCGGCGGAGCTTGTTGTCAAACCAACTACTTGCAGCGTTGAAGATGTCAATGCGCCCGCTGTCCTTCGACGCTGAGTGTGTCTATGTCTTGAATAAAAAACAACTCATCCGACCTGGTAAAAAACGACACCACACGCTTGCAGCCAAAATGGCCCAGTGGACATAGGTGGAGCTGCACAAACACACGAGCACTCGCACCCTGGCCATGGGATCACACAGACATGCGCAGACACTCGTGCTTGCTGAGGCATCTTGTTCACGGCACTCGTGCTCCATCGGACAAGATGCGCAGCAAATCACAGGTCCAAACCTTGGTATGGGATGATATGGGAAGCAACTCTTCTCAACTCGAGTACATGTGGGGTAGTTCTCCAAACTAGGCTCCCTTTTGGGGTCCTTTTTAGAAGGCGCCGTGCTATTTAAAATTCGCTGATCCAAAATAAGGAACCCAATTCAAAGACAAAAACTCATGAGTTTAACAGTCTTCTGACGGAATTACTTGGAGGTTCATGGGTAGTTACTCTACTTATCACCCTGTTTAGGGTACTTCTGACCGCCCATGAACCTCCAAGTCAGCCCTAACCCTCAACCCCGTAAACCCCCTAACCTTTGCCCCTAACCCCCCCTAAACCCCCCCCCGGCCCTAACCCCGCCTCAACCCCTAAACCCCCTAAACCCTAAAACCAAAAAACGCAAGCAGCCCAGCAGCGCTCATGCCTCGTCTGGGGCAGATGTGCCTGACAATCCTCGTACTCCACGGCCTTCCACAACACGTTTCGGGTTTAGGGTTTAGGGTTTAGGGTTTAGGGTTTAGGGTTTAGGGTTTAGGGTTTAGGGTTTAGGGTTTAGGGTTTAGGGTTTAGGGTTTAGGGTGCAGGGTGTAGGGTTTAGGGTTTAGGGTTTAGGGTTTAAAGTGCAGGGTGTAGGGTTTAGGGTTTAGGGTTTAGAATTCAGGGTTCAGGGTTTAGGGTTTGGGGTTTGCGGTTTAGGGTTTGAGGTTTGAGGTTTGCGGTTTAGGGTTTAGGGTTTAGGGCTGAGGCTTTAGGGCTTCGGGTGTAAAGTTTAGAGTCATCACGAGAGCACCTAGGACCTATTGCTACCACCTCCATGTTCTGGGAGTGCCGCGATGACGCCCTGCAAGCAAGGTCACTGGCACGTCGTGCGCCTGCACGAAGGGATGCCGGAAGCAACCTCTCAAGCATGGCAACTTGGGGCGTTTAGGGTTCAGGGTTTAGGGTTTAGGGTTTAGGGTTTAGGGTTTAGGGTTTAGGGTTTAGGGTTTCGGGTTAGGGCTCATGCCCCCAAACCCTGGAGCTACACGCAGGGAGACAGTAGGGTTAGGTTGTTAAACCGAGCCTCCCTGTCTGGACTTCTTTCGTGCGAGGCCTCAAAGCCAAGCTTAAACACATTTTGCAGCCCAAACCCTAAACCCCAAACCCTAAACCCTTTTGGCCGTGAACCCGTCTTTTCTTCAGGGCTTCCGCGGTACCCTGCCTGAAACCTCCACCCTAATTGCAAACCTTGCTCTCAAAAAACAAATCGTTCTGGCAGTTTACGGTTCAGGGTTCAGAGTTTAGGGTTTACTTTTGGGCGGCACATAGGAGGGTCTCTGATTTTTCGCAAGACGGGCGGGAAAACACAAATCTACGCCCTGGCCCCCTCCTCAATATACTAGTCGATCCTTGGCACGTAGACTCGCTACCCTTTTTGCCCGGAACCCTTTTGAGCCCCTAACCCCGAAACCCTAAACCCCGAAACCCTAAACCCCAAACCCTAAACCCTAAACCCTAGACCCTAAACTCCTAAACCCTAAACGCCAAACCCTAAACCCTAAACCCTAAACCCTAAACCCTAAACCCTTTCAAACGCCCCCCAGGAACCGAAAAAAAGGGAACCTTCGGAGTCAACGCACAAGCTCAGCAAGCTCCGCAGGATGTCGTGGGCCTGGCACCACAGGGGTTTGGGGTTTAGGGTTTAGGGTTTAGGGGGTAGGGTTTGGGGTTTAGGGTTTGGGTGTAGGTTTTAGTGTTTTTTTTTCCACCCGCTTAGCTGACCTCTCGGACACTCTGCAGGGAACTGGCGATAGAAGTGTATGGGTTGTTGTCGGAGCTGCCGCTTTGTGGGTTGAGTGGTTGAGTTCAAAGGTTTAAAGGTAAAGTCTCTAGTCAAAAACCAAGGACGATCCCCTCAACCCAGTCGCAACTCATCAAGTCTCGCAAGATGAAAATGAAAAGTATTCAGGGCAATCTCTCAGGGTTCAGAGTCAGCAACACCAAAGACATGAAAAGGTAAGCCTACAAACAAGAACAGACCTAAACCCCGAGGGCTCCAGGATATAGGGCATCCAGGCTCTAGCAGACAAAAGTTTCATCGCCTGCATCAAGCTCATGTACAGCGGCTGTCCCCTATTCCTCCAGACAGAGTTCACATGCAGATTCAGTAGAGCGGACATGACGAACTCTCCCCAAACAGTAAAACGCAATGAAGGCAGTAAACCCACAAGTAAGATAGCAATCCAATATGTCCACTCCAAAGGGTCCTCAAAGATCCTACTCCACAGTTCCTAGCCGAATCAGGCTATTTCGTCGTATGAGATTCCAGCCAGCACCGCACCAACCCAACCACCACATTGATCCAACAGATGAAACACGCACCAACCCCATCAACCCGACCACATGGATCCACACGGCTGAGAACTCAACCAGGAATCTCGAGCTCCCATCTACCCGGCTGTCATCACATGAGCCAGGGTGGGATGTTAGAAAGGCCTCCATCTCTCTCTACTTGGAGTTCTACTTGGAGTTATTTTCTCGAGACACAACAAGCACCACAGCAAAATCACAGGACAAAGTTACCAGTTGCGATCTAGCAAAACGTTTCACTGCACACTCTCCAGCACATGGATGGATCAGCTACAGACTGTGATATGATGGTGGAGAGTCCAGTTCACTCAGCAACCCAAAAAACACATAGATCCGAACGTTCAGACAAAAAGCACCAAAGCAACCACCACCACATGCATCCATACGTTAGGAACTACCATGGCCTCTCCACCAGGTGTCGTATTGTGTGTTATGGTGGTGCGCGTGTTGAATTGAATTATTTGGGCGGCATGCAGCAGGTATGACAGGGCAACAAATTACAATGCACCAGTCTCCCAAATTCCAGTGGTACTTGCACACTTAATTGTGAGGACATGAATTACGAATTACGAATTAGGCATGAGTTTAAATGATGAACTGCAAATTCGTGCATGCTCAGCGATCACTCGTGTCCATCAGCCAAGCATGTCAGGCGCGTTGCATCTCACTTGGGAACATCCACAGAAAATTAGCCTTCCAGCCATTGTCGGCTCCACACCAAGTAGCATCAGCGTGCAACCAGTCGCAATAATGCTTCAGTTGTCACAGAAAACTAGCCTGCCAGCCATCGTCTGCTCCACACAAAAGCAGCAGCATGCACCAGTCACAATATTTCAGCTGTTGTTTGGTCCAGTCCCAACATTCGCGTCAAGCACCAGAGAAGGGGGTGGCTTCAGCTTTCGCCGCACTCAAAACCATGCAGCTTGGGCCTTCCCCATTCCACTCCAGCCCCACACAACGGCATTGCAGAGGAGGCTAGCACTTGGGGTGGACGCTTGAGGGACTTTTCTTGGAACTGGCTTGTTGGAGCATTGGTCTGCCAGAGATACCAGCCAGGTTGAACCAACATCTCAGGCAGACGTGGTCTGCCTTCTGTCAGTGCCCAGATAGATGCAGCTAATTCCAGTCATCAGAGTAGTAGGTGCCTCACACACCAAACGGCTTCCCAACTTGCAGAGTCACTGTTTGCAGCAAAGGTTTCGTTGGCAGCGAGGAGGCCACACAAACACCACCAGACAGTTCAGAAATCGCTACGGAAGGTATCCATGGCTTGGCAGCAGCCAGAAGCTAATCGGTTAGTAGAACTTAAGTGTCACTCTGATGGTAGAACTTAAGTGCCCTGGACAAAACAAGGTTCCTACACAAATAAAAGGATAATAAAACGTGACTTGAGCCATGTGTTTAGGGTTTAGGGTTTAGGGTTTAGGGTTTGGGGTTTAGGGTTTCGGGTTTCGGGGTTAGGGCTGGCTTCTTTTGCCACCCGCCTAGCTGCCTCAAAAGTCGCACTGCAGGGCAAATCACTCGTTATTGCCGGCAGATATGCGAGGACTTTCTCCCCCTAGTCTGGTCCTTTCTTTCCAGTGCTCCTTTACCCAGAGCTTTTAGGGTTTAGGGTTTAGGGCAAAGTTCAGGGTGGGGCTCGGAGGAAACTGGATCAGCCAGAACGCCCAGGCCTCATCGCAAGATTCTGGGTCTCCGAACCGCATGACCACATGCCAGTCGAAGTCACCAATCACCTCGAGCATAATCCGAGTGCAGGCTGACATGATCCTCCAAAGCCCATGCCGTGAAGCAATGTGACACACTACCTTGAGAACCCAAAACCTACAGTACTTGTTCCAGAGCCCCTTATAGTGGCACGAGCCTGCTGTGGCCGGAATTCCGCACGCAACTTTGCGATGGCCTCATCACGCCAAGCAACGTCCGACGCCTCACGTTCGGGCAGGACTGTCCGAAGCATCCTCAAAAGTTGAAGCACGCAACGGCCGTGGCCTCCCAGTGCAATCGCAACCTGGGATGTGCCCAAACCGCTACGAAGTCAGATGTCGCCTATTCTGCCGTGCAGGTTCCACAGGAGCCGACATCAAGGTCGGCGACGGTGCCGTAGGTCGTCGCATCCGCCCAGCACCAGTATCCTTCACAAGCAGGGGTTGCGCACACCACGGAGGAATGGTTGAGTGGTTGTTCTTGGGATGTTCCTACTTGTACTAACAGTCCTGAATGGGGACTATGATCCCCCCTATTTATAGTCCCTATGACGGATCGTTAGTATAAGGGGGAACATCCCAAAGTTGTTCGAGCATTCCTGCCTCAGTGCTTTGCAAAGCTGCACCTGCAGCGATGCCGCATGCCTGGAAGGTTTCAGATATACTGGTCGAGAGGCCCGGGACCAAGGGTGGTAAGCAGCTGAAGATACAACAATTCGTGTGCGCGATTCCTTTTGCACAGCTGGTCGTGCAGCGCAAGAACTAAACGAAATAGCAATGCATACCGGCATGAGAATATGCCACCTCGTCGGAAGCAGCGCGGTGCAACTGTGAACCATGGACCTCCCAACAATCACTTGAGCAGCGAATGAGGAGCAGCAATTGAGCCTCACGGAATGATGGTGTGGCATCTGCCCATGTAACGTGGTAGGTGCCATGTTCATCTGGCCCAGATTGTACCTGCCACCCACATCAGGGCGAATGGGCATGCATGAATACCCCGCGGAGCCCTCGTGCCTCTGCATCGAACCAGCACTCCTGGTCAATTGGCACTGCCAGCCGCACTTGGGTCTGCCCACAAAAACCCGTGCCAGCCTTCAGACTCGGATTGCATGGCTCCCCGACACCATCTCCGAAATCCACCTGCACGAGTGATGAGCCCGGAATGTGTGGGTCTCAGTTGTCCACATGCCCTTGACACGAGCCTCGCCCGCAAAGTATGCTTGCACTTGCTCGCCGCTGATGCATGGGGGGGCCTGCAATTGAAACGTGTTAAAGGAACTGTGAGAAAGTTCCTATGCGGTCTCAATCGCAAGATTCATCAACTTCAACCACCCACCTCATGAGCTCGTGCGAGGCATACGGCAACCGATGCCACTAAACACACGTGCAGCATCTACAAAACAGGCCGACGCAACATGTTCAGCTCACTCAGCAGTCCACAAGAAAAAATGTATAAAAAATCATGCAGCGACCACACCCAGGGCACGTGTCAGCACGCGACATACTTGCTTTGAAACTGCGCCCTGAGGATGCCATTTTGGAGCAGTCTGTTTTGCAACACCGGTCCCGCTGCATAGAAAGCCACTACAGAGTTTCTTTCTCCCTAGCTTCTTCCTTACTTATGAAATATACCAGTCCCATCCGCTGACGCTGGCCCGGGCGCCCAGGCGCTCTTACAGCTCCTGCAACTTGAGCACCCGCACATGGGCGCGAAAGCTGCCAGCGACGTGAGGCTGTGCCACGACAAGCATTCTTTGTCACACGCACCAATTTGCAAGTGTGCGGGCGGTGCCGCAGAGGGCAAGCTGAAAGCCATGGCGGCGACGATAACATCAGCGAGGCGCACATGGCCTGGGACTCCGCCAGCTTACCCTGCAGACTTGGGTAAATGCATGCTCGTGCGCGCGGGCGCGGGGAACTGAGAATCGCAGGCGAGAGTGGGAGGCGGAGGCGGAGTGGAAGCACTGCACCCGGATTTAGGCATGGGTAAAGGATTTATAGGGCTACAGGGTTCAGGGTTTGAGGGTTTCAGCGCTTGAGGGCTTTCGGGGGTGTAGGCTTGAGCTGCTTGGGGCGGTTGCTAGTAATCGAAAACATACAGGGTCTGGCACGGAAAGGAGTACATCCCGGAAAGCTTCCTTGTTCTCTGGGGACCTGACCATCATCCCACCCCCCACAGCACAGGAATGCATGGTTCTACCTTTTGCCAGCGCTGCCGACGGGTGACTGTGGGGTTCTCACCCAAGTCTGCTCTCGAATACACCCAAACCCTATATAGACCGTTAAGCCCACACCCTGCAAGCCCTTAACCCTGCAAGCCCTAGACCCCCAAACCCCAAAAACCCTAAACCCGAAACCGCGGCAGGCAGCACCACAAGCAGAGATTGACGGCGCCCGTCAAGCCCAGAAAAAGCAAGCTTGCGAGAAGCTGGCTGGGCAACAGCTCCCAGACGACGCGCCTCTCAAGCACAAGGAAAGCACTGGCCAGGCAGCCAGCCAGCCCCACCACTCCCAAGGAGGACAGGACCTCCAACGCAAAGCTCCCGCAGTGCGCTCGCAGCTTGTAGCTCAATCGCAGAATCACGTTGGCGATGCAGGGTAGAACCTGGACTTGACGAACCCGCAAGACTTTGAATGGGTCCACACTATGTATATATGGAAATGTGTGTATATCGTATGTATCTTATAATTAATTATACAGATATGCATGTGTGTGTATCTGTCTGGGGGGTTGCAAAGGAAATACAGGGTCCAGGCTCCCAAATTTTAGGATTCACCGTGGTCTTCAAGGAACGGCCACCCACCAGGAGACAAAACGGACCAGGGCAGCAGCTGCATCATGCAGTGAGTGCTGCGCTTCGGCCTTAGGTTTAGGGTTTAGGGTTTAGGGTTTAGGGTTTAGGGTTTAAGGGTTCAGGGGTTCAGGGGTTCAGGGGTTCAGGGTTTAGGGTTTAGGGTTTAGGGTTTAGGGTTTAGGGTTTAGGGTTTAGGGTTTAGGGTTTAGGGTTTAGGGTTTAGGGTTTAGGGTTCAGAATTCAGGGTTTAGGGTTTAGGGCCAAAGGAGCCTACAAGCCGGCATTTTGGGCCACGCGCCACAAGCTCACTAAAATCAGTATTCGGGTCCATGGCCCTAAACCCAAAACCCAAAACCCAAAACCCAAAACCCTAAACCCTAAACCCTAGCCCCAAGTCCCTTTTTGACGTTCTTCTGGTCGCCAGGCGGCGGCCGCCCGGTCAAGCGCCAGCCACAGCACGGGCGCGCTGGCCATGATGATGCGGGGGTACGAGAAGACGGCATCTGCGAGTTGATCCACCAAAGCCATCTGAAGCTTCTCCTGGCTGGTTCTTCGTAGGGGGTTTAGGGTTTAGGGTTTAGGGTTCAGGGTTCTCCTGCTTGGGACTAAGGGAGGGGCCCCTTTTAGGGGCTACTTCGGTACATGAGAACTATGTGAGGTGTACTTAAGCTGATGGGTTCTTAGTAAGGAATGAGGGAATGAGGTACCCAGCAGAATCCCTTAAAGGCTATAATATAAGAAGGGGGCCCAAATTCCCCCTCCCTTCCCTACGAAGAACCAGCCGGGTCTCCTGCGCATACTGGTCGAAGTTCGAGACCGACCCAAACCAGGCATCGATGCATCGGAGGATGACCTCCCGGTCGCAAATCCCCCCATGGGGGCGGCCCTCTCGGCAGCAATGGCTGGCACACTTCTCCTATACTCCCCTTAGAACCTCAATAACAAGAATATGTTTAACGCCCTCTTAAGTTTTATTTAAACCAAGATAGAAAACAGTTCACAAGGGGGACAAAGTCTCAATGGACAAGTTGCGCACTTCACCCTCAAGCACGTCGATGCTGCGGAAATATGCCCTGGCGGAGTAGAAGGTCAGGCAAAACAGCGGGATCGCGACAGCTCCCCCGATGAAAACGGTCGAATCTCCGAAGGAGCCTCGCAACGAAAGGTAGATCATGGCCGTGACGCTCAGGCTCACATGGGTCACCATCAATGTGGGCCCAAGCATCGGAGGGCAAACTTTGAGGTTTGCCCTCCGATGCTTGAGATCCTGGGTCTTCTGGCTGTGCAGGAAAGCACTCAGCTCGAATATGCACCATAACCGTGTGACGTAACTCGGACACCAAAGTACCACCATGCTCTTCGAGCTTTTCAAGACGGCACCCATGCTGACGAGGCCTGCGATCTTATCATCCTCGCTACGCTGATCTATGCATGCAATGTCCAAGAAAACGCGAGCCTGGCGAGGGCAGAGCAGCAAGGTCAAGTAATGTGCCAGAATTCCGAAAATTGTACACCATTGACAATTCCAGTACGTCCAAAGCGTGCCACGCCATTCTGGCAGCACGCCCACCTGGAAGGAAGGGTCTTCCCTAAAGAGGCCCCTTACAGGATACTTGGAGGTTCAAGGGTGGCCATAAAGAGGGTTGCAAGCACCCTGAAAAGGGTTATAAGCATAGGTACCATACTGATAAGCCTACATGTAAGTACCCATGAAGGGGCATGGGATGTCATGAGGCTGTTGAAGCCCAACTGCCCATCCTGGAAGAGGGCCATCGCCAACAGAGAACTGAGCGTGCTCATCCAAAAAGCAAACGAGCCATTGCTGAGGTAGAGCATGTTGACATACTTGAGCCAACCCACATCATGCCAGCTGTGAGACAAAAACGCATCGATCTGGGAGACCTGCTCGCTGAAGCCGTGTAGCTTGGCGAGCTTACCATGCAGCCAATACCACGGTGCACGCTGCAGCAAACGGAAGACGCGTATCCCTCGGACCATCCCCGGTTGCAGGGCGGTCATGGAGGAGATGTACTCGAAGTAGACCTCCTAAGTTCCACACGAACCTGTGCAACAAACTCCTTTGTGGGTTTCATGGGACTTTGCCCCACCAAAGAACCCATACCATAACCCTATTTCCCACGCTTTACCCTAAACCCTTTTTCAATGGAAAGAAAGCTGTGACAAGGAATCCACAGATCCGTGAAGGCAACCGCGTTGGGAGACCCAGCGCTCACATCCTTGGGCACGAGATGCATCCGAAGAGGGTTTAAGCGTTAGGGCCCACATGGGTCCTGCACCAACCCTAATCCCTGAACCCTGAACCCTAAACCCTAAACCCATGAGCTAGGCTACAAGAGATGACACCAACTTTTGGTTTCAGTTCCAAGTTTCCAAATAAACCTGTGGAGGAGAAGCGGTGCACATTTCTTGCTTTTGAAAGGGTGTCAAACGACATTGAGTGAGGGCCATTTGGGTGCTATTCATCAACGTCAAGATGTGGGCAATGGCACTCCAACCACTGCCCTCTCGGCCATAGCTAGAGCAGGCCAGACGGAAGCATAGGATCCCGACCCTTTTCGAACCCAAGACCACCCCCAAGACCATCCCTGAACCGTAAACCCTAAACCCTACACCCTAAACCAAGAAGCGGAAGAAAGCCGTACCAAGGCATCCGTGGCTCCGCGAGAGACAACGCGGAAGACTCTGACACTTCCTGGGGCACGAAGGCACCCTAAAGGGGTTTGGGGTGTGGGGAGGGCTTTTTTTTTAGGGTTTAGGGTTTAGGGCCTTAAGGTTTAGGATAGGTTTAGGGTTTAGGGTTTCGGGCTTCGGGCTTCGGATTTCGGATTTCGGGTTTCGGGTTTCGGGTTTCGGGTTTCAGGTTTAGGGGTTCCGGGTTTTCGGGTTTAGGTGCTTGGATGGTTTCGGGTTCGCAGGCTTAAGTTTGGGGCCCTGGGGTTTGGGGTGCGAGCTTAAAGGATCAAAGAATACTAGGGCCCCACTTTGGGTGCTCGTGTGCGAGCTGCATCACCAATAGCCGCGCCGATGGGCAACGGCTTCATCTCATCGGCCATGGTGCTGGAGCAGGTCACACGAAACAACACCCAAAGCCTAGAGTCTACTTCATCCCTGTTCCCCGAGGCAGAAAGAAGGATCCTTTTTGTTCATATATAAGAAAGCCCATAACCCAAAAAGTAAAAAGGATCCCTAACACTGATCGAGTCTAGGGTTTAGGGTTTGGGGTTGTTGCTGCATGATCTGAGGGCCGTAGGATTTGCCACCTGCTTAGCAGCCTCGCAACCACACTGCAGAGATGCAAACGTCCGTCAGTCATGAGCAGTCGGGTTCAGGCTGTAGGGTTCAGGGCTCAGGGTTCTTCAGGGTTCAGGGTTCAGGCTTTGGGGTTTGGGGTTTGGGGTTCGCCTAAGAAGCTTCATGGTAAAGGCGGTCAAGGGCCCACGCGCAACCGCCAGCGTGGTTTTGACCCAAGCGCACCATGCCACTTTGCGGCGTGGCTCCGGGGGTTTGAGGGTTAATCCACCAGTTCGATACACTGTGTTTGTGAAGGGCGGGGTGGGGGGCGGGGGGCGCCGCCTCCTCCCGCCAAAGTTGTACATGCTGGAAGATGATTCTTGTTCCAAGTGGGGGAGGCATGAGGAAGCATGCCTACCCAACCATCGCATCACTCGTTCTCTTTGCAAATGGGTTGAGGGGAGCGCGGGGGCACCATGCGGGGCGGGAAATGGAGGTTTCTCCTGAGAAATGCGAAGCCAACAGAAGAGTTCGTTTCATAATAACGGTTTTACATCATAAAACCCTCGCATGAAATCCAAAAGTCTGTTCAACAACGTCGGAAAAAACCTTCTAGCAAAGGTTTCTTATCAACATATCCTGCTGCTGCTCCAGCTGTGCCCGGCGCTGCACAGGGCGCTGCACGGCGAGCCGTTCCGCCGCCCTCCGACATCGGCAGCCAACACGCACCTGCAGGCACTGTGGGCCCCCCGAGGGAATGTTCGGGGTCTTGCGTCGCGCGGCTGCGGATGACTGCCGGCATGGCATGAAAGTTCATTACGCGCTTGGCCAAAAAGCCGCACGCATACTGGAGTTCGGCGGATTGCTGTGGCAGGGTGGGAGTCAGCCCCTTGCCGCACAAGCCAACAAAAACTTAGGCTCCACGCCAGCTTGCCAAGCCATTGCGGAAAATCTCGATGTGGCGCGCGTCGTGAGCAGGTTCATGTCCGCCAACTGCACGTTACGTGCGATGAGCTCAGACGAATCAGATGATGCGAGCTGTCTATAGTCGGCTGGGAGAGCCATTCAACTGCCATCCCAGCCGCGTCACGGCCGGGTGGCGACAGCAAAGCTTCCAGTTTTTTTCACTCCATCGCGTTGCATCTGGAAATGCTGTCGGAGCGTGTGGGAGGTTGCTGGCAAGCGGGGGCACTGATTCGAACAGCCGGTCTGCAGGTGCGTCACTGGGCGCATGTTGAGGCAAAACGCGAGCAAGGAGGACCTTAGGGCGGCGATGCTGGCACTGGCCCGGACCCCCAGGCGCGGGACGAATCATGCCACTAAGCTCATGGCCGAGACGACCAAGGGCCAACGTGAGGACTGGAGAAGCTCAGGGTAGGTGCCCTCCGCGGTCGGGATCGCATGGCTGTTCCGGCAACAAAAGTCAAATGAAATACAATTAGCACCAAAACGTGTACTTCATGCCGCGGGTCTAAGGGCCGCTTGATTCGCATGTTTTGTGGAGCACGAGTTGGGCGATGGAGCACTCTTTGCCATTCTGGGTCTATATAGTTTGTGTGGGGACTTTGGCTCGCCTCCCACGGTCGACCAAGAAGGAAACCGGAGCTGCAAACAACGGATTCGGGAAGTAGTCGCGCGATGACTTCTGCAAATTCTGCAAGTTTGTAGTAGTTTTGTAGCGCTGCAGGAAGCCGCATGAAGCATATGTATAGACCGTTTCACTTGTACCCTATCAGCGAAATTGTGGGCCATCGCCACGAGAATCATGGAGCGATTGCGATGCTTCGAGAAAATCCATGTTCGGAAGTGGCCGGTATCGGTGGATTATTATTCACCGTTGGCAGAGGAGGTCACTGGTCACTGTCGTCACAGTGACGAGTCGAAGCATGTGGAGCCGACCGCGGGCACTTGACAAAACCATCCAGAATCGCCGAGCTTTGCTGGGCCGAGGCACACGTACCTTTTGGCATGAGCTTTCGCATGTCTCGTTTCCGTGCATTTAATTAAGGGACGGGTGCACGATGGCCAAAACGACGCACTTCTGGATGACGAACTCATTTGGGTGCTTTCGTCGACTTACGTTGCGTTCTTTCCTTCGATCCGCGTCCTGCTGATGACGAAAGGGACGTTCGCTTGCTGCATGGCGCCCTTTGGCTAGCCAATGCAGAGGTCCCTCCTGCTCGTCGCACTTCGCAAGCCGAACGGGTGGGTCGGTGCACTCGCAATCGGGAATGTGTTGCGGCGTCTCGTCGGCCCAACAGGGAGGCATGCCCCTTGCCACCGTCCCTTCCGTTGATGCCGTCGGCGCTTAGGACCACCTCTCGCGGGGATCCATACTTGAGGAGCTGCAGCCTTTGCTTCCCAACGTGCGGCAGTTCTATGCGACGCCCAGTGTTTTCACCTGGTACGACGATGATGGCTGCGCGCACGATGTTTGTCAGGCTGAACGCGGCGAGCTGGGCGATCCGTTGATGCCCGCGTTCTATGTCGTGGCACAGCACGCTGCGCTCGCTGACCTTCAATGACGGCGAGGCCATCTTCGCGTTCCTTGATGACGTCGACATAGTTGCGGCACCCGAGCGCGTTCCCAGGTCGTCTCAAAACTGAGCGGGCGGATGCATTGCCCGTGTTGCAGCAGCGGCAGGACACCGCAAGGCGCTGCTTGCAGGAACGCGGCCGGTGCGCGGGCGCGCCTGCTTGCAGGCGGCGGCGGCCCGCGCAGACACCCTTACCGCCGAAGGCTGGTCGGACAGGCCAGCCATGGCCAGCCTGGCGAGCGTGTGTCGACAGTGCGCGGCCGCCGCCCGACTTGGGGGATCGGGCTGGCAACGTGGCGCAGTATAGTGCCGTTCTCGCACTTCACACCTCCTTTCGAGGACGCACAATGTTGCCGGCTTAGACCCCTGACGCCCGAGCCATGTTGCGCGGTCCCAGTCAGGCCCGCATGCGGGGTCTTGGATGAGCGCCGGCCACTATGACTTGCTGGTGCCTGCCCTCGATGGTGGGCCCTTGCCAGCGGTGATCACGAACATCCAGGAGATCGGTGACACTAAGGGCGGTCGAGGTGGAGGAGTCCGGGACCACCCGAATGACACTGCTGAGGGCTCTGATGCGGCGTGGACCGTGTATACTCGCAATGCTGAAGGATTTCATGTGCCGGTTGGAAGAGTAAGCGGCGCTGTTGTTCCTCCGCCTGCGCCCGTGCGGCCATCGGCGAGCGCGGCTGGGGGCGGCAGCAGCCGAAGGGGCGAACCGAGCGCTGCCACTGGTGGCGCAGCAAGCTGTTCGCTGGTTGCAGCTTTTGCACGGGGGGCGAGGAGGTGTGAGCTTTCGCGAGACAGCTCCAGGTGTAGCAATGACGCTGAGGATGATGTGGCGGTTTTGGCTGATGTGGAGGGCATTGATACGGAGCCTGCCGAACCGAAGCGCAGAAAGAAGCGCAAAATCTGGGAGTGGACATGTCCTGTCCCTGACTGTGGCTTCACGTGCGGAGGCTCCTTTTGGTCTTTCCGCAAGAACAAGCACATTCGAGCGTGGCATCCTGAGCGCATGAAGGAGCTCAATCTTCGTGGCGTCATAGATGAGCCGATCGAGGTGCGTGATGACGCTGTTGTCACTTGGAGGTGCCCTGTGTGCCTCAAGGCTTTCCCCGCAGAGTGGAACTTGACTGGGGACAAGCTGCGGCAGTGGAAGCTCGCGCATGGAGCACGGGCGCATCCTGAGGAGAACATCGCCATCTTCAAGAGGAGAGTCGCTCGGCCCTGCAATGCGCCCAAGGCCACCCAGGCCGTGCGGGCGAAAGGGGTCTCGTCGCGGCTTTCTCAGATCAAGCGTGGCATTGGTGGACACAGTGGACTCTTCACGATTGATGTGCCAGCAACACAGCCTGGGCGGCGTAGCGCCGCGTATTTTGTTTGCCGCCATTGTAAGTGCCTCGCGCACACTGCCAAGCTCCTGGCCAAGATGCCCTGCGAGGCGGTCGTGGGCATGTCGCAGCAGCGCCAGGCCTTGATTCAGCGACTGGCCAAGCAGAAAGAAGATGCGACGCTGGATGAGCGACTTCGAAGTGGTGCGGCTGAGCTTGTCAACTTCCTCACTGCTGGAGCGGGCGAGGGTGAGGCCTCGAAGCAGCACATCGCCCGAGATCATGAGCTCGAGGCCATCCCATGGCCGATGGAGGACAAGTCTTTTGAAGTGCGCTTTGTGTGTGTTGCCTGCCGCCGGTTGGCAGGCAACGAGCGGGGCTTTCCCAAGGGCACTTGCAAGGGCGAGAAGACTTTCGCGAAGTATCGCCAGCGATGGCTTCGGGAGCTGGAGCCCTGGCTGAAGGATGATGGGCCTCGCGGGCGTGCTGCGCGGCAGGCCAAGTCCAAGCTTGGCATCTTGGATGAGCCGAGTCCGCCTGAGCTTCCCCGAGGACTGATTGGTGGCGGCGAGGAGCGAGCAGCATGAAGTCTGCTCGGGCTTTGAGGGTGGGCACAGTGAACGTGCGAACAATGATGGGGCGCGCAGCCGAGGTTTTGCGCTTGGCTGTTGAGTGGGAGATTGGGATCCTGCTTGTTCAGGAGGCTCGTCTACCGCGAGATTCGTTTGGAGCCTTAAGAAACTTGGCGACCAAATTTGGGTGGCATCTTGTGATTCATGAGCAAGGGCTGGCGCCCAGTGGCGCTGCGCAGTGGGGATGCATCACGCTGGCTAGGTGGCCGGTGGAGCCGCTTCCGAAGCCACAGTGGTTGCCGGATGGGCGTGGTGGGGTGATGCGAGTTTGGAGGCCACGGGCGAGACCGCTCCTGTTGTGCAACTTGTATCTGCCTGCTTCTTCGCGCACCGAAGCTGGTGATATTCTTCAGGCTTGCTTTGAACATGTGGCTGCTTTGGGGGAAGATGCGTTGCTCATGGGTGATTTCAATTTAACTGAGGGAGACTTTCCCATCTCAGATGCTTTGGCGTGCGGCGCGATGCGATCTGCGAATGAGGCCATTCATGGTGATTCTCCCCCGCCGCCCACGTTTCGGGGCCCAGGTGGACACTATACCAGGTGCATTGACTTCGCTCTTCACACGGACAAGTTGGTGATTGACTATAAGCACCAGGTGGTGGGGCCGGCGGACCACGATCTTGTCTTCTATGACGTGCAGTTGGCCACTGACTGGCGGCCTGAGCCTTTTCGCATCCGGCCGCCCAGGCAAGTGGTGCCGGTGCAAGTGTCCGTTAAGGAGTGGAATGATGTGTGGAGCTCGCGTGGGCAGACGTTTCATGACGCTCTTGGTCGCGGTGAGGTGGATGAAGCCTGGTCTGTCCTCAGTGCCGCGGCGGAGGATGTGATGCATGCGGGTGGCAAGGCTCGTCGTCGTGCTGAAGCGCCTGTACCTGTCCGTGGCCTTCCCCCTTCTACCAAGGCCCCGACCGTTCAGACTTTGCTTGAGCGCCGTTTGCGGAGGCTCATGAGGCGAGTCGCCGAGGCCATGCTTCGGGATCACGACTCGGTTCACTATGGCAACCTTTTACGCAAGGTCTGGAGGCAGGCTGAAGGACATGGCTTTGGCGCCACGTCTCTCCCGGAATTGCTGGAGGAGGTGCAGAAAGCAGCTGATGCCGAGGCGCTGGAGACCAAGCAAAGACTGGTGGCTCAGTGGCGTGAGAGAATGGCGGTGGACATCCATCAAGTCTCGCGTTGGGTCACACGGGCGGCGCCACCGCCTTTGCACCGCGATGGTGAGTGGACTGCGCCGTTGGAGACCTCTGAGAAGCTGGAGCAGGCGCGTGAAGTTTGGGAGCGTTGGTGGGGGAGTGACGCCGACTATGACCATGAGGCTACGGCGGCCCTGTTGGAGAGCGTTCCTGCGGGACCTGCTTGTGCGGATGATGCGCTGCAGTTTACGCCGGATGAGTTGGCGGCAGTGGTCAAACGAAGGCGCAAGCGTGCCACAGGGCTGGATGGGTGGGCGGCAGCGCAGCTGACTTGTTTGCCGTGTGGCTTTTGGGTGCAGGTGGTGGAACTCTGGCAGGCCATGCTTCAAGTAGGGCGCGTGCCTTTGGCGTGGAAGCGCATCAGAATCGCTTTGGTGCCAAAGCCTGACGGCACTCAACGGCCCTTGGCTATTGGTGCAGTATTGTGGAGAGCACTGGCCTCATTGGCTTGTAGACGCCTTCGTGACTGGGCTACTGCTGCTTTTCCTTCTGATATTCATGGAGGAGTTGTTGGGAGAAGCCTACATGGGGTTCATGATGCGCTGCTTCGGGATTTGGAGCGGACCCATGGGGGTAGATGCCATTTGTTGGGCGTCAAAACCGATGTCAAGAAGTTCTTCGACAGTGTTCGTCCACAGCAGGCTGTGGATGTGGCCCTGCATATGGGATTCCCTGGCGCGCTCGCCGCAGTGGTTCGCGACTTCTATGTGCAACAGGATCGCTTCCTTATGCTTGATGGCGTGGTCCACCCGAGGCCTATACGAGTGGCTTGTGGCTTGCAGCAGGGATGCCCGCTGTCTGTTACTTTGGTCAACTGCTTGATGACAGTTTGGCATGCTGTGGTCAAACAGGCGGCGCCCTCACTCACCGTGAAAATCTTCGTGGATGATCGCACTTGCTGGAGCTTGGATACTGATGCAGAGCTGCTTTTGACCGATGCTGTGACTGCTGGCAGGAGAGTCGATGCTGTGTTCAACCTGACTGTGCATCCCGACAAACAGGCCTCGTTTGCTACGTCCAAGGTGGCTCGGAGGCGATTGCAGGAGCGCACTGACATCCTAGGGCCTGTGGTCTTTGCTTTCAAGCTGCTTGGCGTGCACTATGTCATGAGGAGAGGTGGTGTAGCGCCGGATCTGCGGGCTCTTGACGACATGGTCTTGGTGCGGTGTGAGCGTATTGCCAAAGCTTGCAAACATGTGGGTAGGCGTGCCATCTTATTGCGGTCACTGGTTGTCTCGGCTATTGCATGGGCTGCTTGCTGGAATCGCTATCGTGTTCACACCCAGAAACGCTGGCAGGCACGTGTCGAGAGGGCTCTATGGGCTGGGCAGGTCCCTAAAGGTCGCTCCTGCATGATGGCATGGGCTGCTATGGGTGGGCCGTGGCTGGATCTTTCTTTTGCTTTTGCAGCGGTGGTCATTCGTGCAGAGTGGAGACGACGGTCGGCAGTGCTCATGGGGCATCCGACGTCAGACGCGGCTAGCTCAGCTTGGGCCAAGGTTTTTGCGAGATGGGGCTGGGCGGATGAAGGAGGCATGGACGTGCACACCTTGCTTGGCACGTTTTCGCCGGCGTGGCACACAGTGGATGCATTTCTGCGTGCGGCTGTGCAGGCCTGGCACCAGGATCTGTGGAACGGCGATGGGCGCACAGGTGGAGCTGGGCCGCTTGGGAGGCGTGCCCTCATACTGGATGAGCATGTGAGAATCGTCAACCTCTCCTCGAGGGCGGCTTTTCGTGCGGTTACGGCTTCTGTGGTGGATGGACGGCTCCTTCAGCGCGTTGATGTCCAGACGCAGTGCAAGTGCGGGATGGAGGCGCCGCCCACTGAGCATATGGTTTTCGATTGTCCGCTGGCTCCGCAGGGCTTGGGAGATGGGTACACCAGGGCTGAGCGCAAACTTCTTGTGGCTGTGGTGCCCTTTGCTGCAAGGGACGGTGGCATGGAGGTTGAGCTTGATGATGAACTTGCGCAATTCATTCAGCTGGCGCGTGAGAACGGCGATTCGCTCTTCTGTGCTACGGATGGTGGGTGCTTGATTGCTGCTGGAATGGAGCACTGGCAGCGTGCGGCATGGGCTATTGCTGCGAAAGCGGGCAATCAGGAGATAGTGGTGCATGGATTGGTCCCGGGTCCCGAGCAGACCCCGGCCGCTGCCGAACGTCATGCGTTGGCTGTCTTGGCTGCGCACACCGCAGGCAACGCCGTAGAAGGTGTGGTGCTCACGGACAATGACGCTGCAGTGAGGCGCATTGCACGTGCTGCTCGTGGTGATTTTGCTGGACCTTTGGCTGCGTTCTGGCAGCGTGTCACCGCGGGCCTCGGTGATTTGATTGTGCACTGGATTCCCAGCCTAGCCACGGCAAGCGACCCAGTTGGATTCCTCCTCCGGGAGTTTGCGCAACGATGGCCCGGCGCTTCAATCGCTTGGCGGATGAGGCATGCTCCAAACAGTTGGGTTTTGTCACTGATGGATGGCAAGTGGACGTTGCTGCGGTTCGGCGTGCGAGAAGGTGGGAACGAGCTGTTCTTGAACGTGCGATGGTGGAGAGCGAGCCGTTCGCCGTGCGCTTGCGAGAGAAGTATGGCGCCATCAGGGACGGCCTTCGAGCGTGAGCTTGTCGTATCGGTGGGCTTTCCCTGCTGTGTTTTTGTGGGGTTGTGAGTGCATTTTCTCTCTTTGGGATGGGCTTTCGGGAGGGATCGTTGTGATTTCTTTCGGGCGAGATCGTGGAGATTTCTGGCTCTTTCTTCTGCTGACGCCGGATGTATGGTGGCGACCACGTGGCGGCCTACCGCTTCTCGGTGATTGCCTTTTTGGCACTTTTGGGATGGGCTTTCGGGAGAGGTCGTTGTGATTTCTTTCGGGCGAGATCGTGGAGATTTCTGGCTGTTGCTTCTTCTGACGCCGGATGCATGGTGGCGACCACTTGGCGTCCAACCGCATCTACATAAGCACAGGTTGACGTCGCATACATTCTATTTCTATTTCCATCTTTTCATGCTGAGCTGTCGTGTTCCAGGCTACGATAGCTGAATCCAAAGGCTCCCTAGCCTTGAGAGGCCGGGCCGTTCTGTTGCGACGTCGTCGGGTTCTTCTGCTGCGACAAGACGACTGGGTACCTGTGGGTCGAGATCCACCTCCTGAGACGAGGGGAGTAAAAGTGCTGGGGGTTTCATACAACTGCATGTCGCACAAAGCCTCCAGAGGAAAATACCTCGGTCCCGTCACCAAGGGATGGTGGACCACCTCGTATTGGCATAGCGCTGCTAAAGAAATTGGGACTGGTGAGGGATCTTTGGCTGGTACACATTCCGCTCCAAGCGAAACCTGCCCCAATCCTGAATCCCACTCCTTCTGGAGGGGCATACCCTGACACATGCCACACAGAACCGCGTGTCTAGATGACCGGGTGTAGCTTGGAAGCTCCACCAGGCAACTCTGACACTCAGGCACCACGGCACATTCATGGGAAGCCCATCCTCGGCACAGCCGACACAAAACTGCAAGCGCGAGACCATCCCCTACCAGGAAAAGGGTGTGGCACGGGTCCTCCCCGGCCTGACACCTGCAGACCTCACAACAGCTAAGGCTGAAGACATCTGCTTTGGAAGGGGATTGGCAAAACGTCTCGGGCAAGGTGACAAAATTTTGGCCAAGGGGAAAAACACGGGTTGTCGGGGAGAGGGACGACTCTGACAAGTGCGGGGGAAACAGGTTATCCCTGGAATCCAAAACCCCCAACGCCCTACAAGCCCC